GCAAGGGGCCACCGCGCGGCCTCGCGGAAGCCAGAGAGGCTGCCACGGCCAGCGCGAGGGCACAGCTGCTGCTCGGGCGCGCTGGCGGAGGCAAGCAGCGGGCCACGAGCAGCGAGGGCGGGCGGCGCGCCGCGAGGATCTGCCGCCCTGCGCGACCAGGGGGCGCCCACGCGCAGGGGCTGCGAGCTCTGCGGTGGTCCGAGGAGGACGCCCCATCAGCAGCACACGTGCGGTGCGGGAAGCAAGAGGCGCGTGCGGAGAGCGGCAGCCGAGATCGCCTGCCTCTGCAGGGCCAAAACGGGCACGTGCACCACCGCCTCCAGCGCGCCTCGCGCCCCCCTGCCCGCCAAAACATCATCAGCGGCCCCCAGCGCACCGGAGCGCACCGCACGGCGCGACGCCGACTGAGACACCTCTCGATCTACAGTGGGGGCCAGTCCACAAGAAACCGTCGAGAAGAAACCCAACCCTGAGACCCCAGGACGTCCATTGATGATGGGTGTGGGAAAGTCGCGCCTTCCATAGAAAAACCATCGGAACCCAAGAAACCCCGGGCACCCTGGAGGCAAGCAGGGTGTTTCTTGGCATGGGTCTCCACTGTACCCCTCTCTCTATTCCTCTCTCTCTCTCTCTCTCCCCCTCGAACACTTACGAGAAACACCGAACCAGACCCACCAAGCAACCCAATAAGTTCAGACTCCTGTGGAAACACGTGGGGAGCCAAGGTACCCTGGGGAGTGCGGCCCTCTGGGGCAGCGAGTGGGCCAGGTCCAGCCCGTCGGGGCTCCTGCCTTTCATCCCTGTCCTGCTTCTTCTCGCTTCGCCTCCTCATGCCTGCACTCCTCAAGACTAACCCCAGCATCGTCGGCAGCAGCAGCAGCGTTCGCACGGTCACCAGGGAGCGCCGGCACTGCTCGACCTGCGTCGACGGCTGACTGCACTCTGTCGCCCGTGCACTCCGGGAAGTAAAAGCCATGTGCGCGCGGGCATGGCTTCTCGACGTCGGCGCCGCTCGCAGGGGCGACCGCGGGAGACACGAACGGCCCGCGGGCCCCTCCAGGGCGCCAGACCTGGCCGAAATCGGCGCATCCCCCCACAACGCCGACCACGACATCCCGCGCGTGATCCCAAGTCGACCGAAACTTCGGCCAACGCCAAATGCCTTGACTGCGAGATTGCAGCTTCCGATGGTCCGGGTGTGCCCCGCCTGAGCTGTGCTGGTGAGGCGCTCCGACGCCCGGCTTCCTCGCGTCCCTGCCGCAGAACGAGGCCCGGCTCTCCGCAGACAGCAGCTGCCGACGCAGCCGAGCAGCCCTGCCCGCCCGGCGATGGGGGCACACGATGACGCCGGAGAGCTCTCAAGCTGTGACTGCGCAGCTTTGTACCCCGAGTGGCCCTGGAGCACGTTGCGACCCATCACGACCAGCACAAGGCCCCCCACGTTGACGACAAAATGACCTCAAGAACAGAGAAAGCAAGCAGAAGCAAGATGCCGCAGAGCGTGCGGTCGAAGCACCACACGGCGGCCGCAGCGTGGCGGCCCGCGGGGCGCAGGCCCAGGCCAGACGCTTCTGCCGCATCGCGCTCCGCGATCGAGGGACCCCTGTGGGCCCGCACCAAAGCTCACTCTGGCGACAGGTCACGCCGATCACGCGGCGGATTCCGGAAACCCTGGGAGGTCGACTTCTGCTTCCGCCGGCTTCCGCCGGCCTTTGGCCGGCCTCCGCTGGCGGAGGCGCCCTCGTCTTGCTTCCGCCGCCTTCCGCCGCCCTTCCGCCGCCCTTCCGCCGTGGAAGACATGGCAAGGCCTTCGACCCCCGAGGGCAGAGACCGTTCCTGGAACCGCCCCACGCGTAGTCGATGGACGCGTTGGACCGAGGCCCCCGACGGCGTGAGCTGCTCATGGCGTGGACCCCACAGAGGCCTGGACCCTTCCCCCCCGAGACCGGCTGCTTCGTCCTCCCGAGCCACGTCTCTTGGCGGTCCCTGGGGGTCAGGCAAGGACCCACGGGGGCGGCTGAAGATGGTCAAGAACTCCCCGCTGCACTTTCGGTCAGGGCGCGAGGGGGTCTCTCGCCATCGCTCGAGCGTCCATTCCCCGTGTCATTTCCGGCTTCGCGCGCCGATTTTTCGCACGATGATCCAAGGTGCCCCATCGATGGTCCCCGCCGAGAAAACTGCTCACGTCCCAGCGATGCCAAGGCATGGGGGCACCGCCTCCTCCGCACCGCCTCCTCCGCGGTCCTTCACTCCTCGGTGCCTCCCCCGCCTGTGGGCTGCCCCCAGGGCCCCCGGGCGCCGCTCGAGAGCCCGCAGGGGCCCACCCAGGGGTCGAGACTTGTCAGAACGTCCCGCTGCGACTCCGTCACGACGCGAGCTCGGAAAGCAGCTCACGGAAACTGTTGGTCGTCTCCATGGCGCGCCCCATCGGGCGCAGAGCGGACGTGGTGCACCTTCCTCACCTGGCGTCGCTGGGCGCCTCCTGGCACCGCCTGGCGCCGTGGGACGCTACCGGGCGCTCTTCGCCGACGCGCATGTTTTCCCCAGACGGCCGGAGACTTCTGGAACTCGGCCTTCGGCACGAAGGAAGCGGGTCCCGAGGGGAAAGATCCCGGACCCCGGGGCACTCCCCCAGACCATCTTTCAGGGAGCCGAACTCTACACACACCGACGCCTCTGCCCGGTCTCACACGGAATCTCGCGCAGGAAAGCGGATCCTGGTGCAGACGGGATCCTGGTGTATATACATTCTTCGCTGCTTCCCCCCGGGAAACGTGGAAGAGGGCATACGCCACACCACCCCGACGTCGTCCCCGACCCTCAAAGGAGTCCTGGGATTGAAAAGCCGCCCGCCACTGGTGATGCTCCAGCTTCCGACCTTCACATCCCAGGTCGGCTGCCGACGGCCCCGAGGCCCGCGGAGGGCCCCGGGACCCCGACAACGGCGGAAAGCCTCGGGACACGCTTCCCATCAGGACCCGTTTCCTTCATGGCGATCGTCGTCGTCGTCGTCGTCGTCGTCGTCGTCGTCGTCGTCGTCGTCGTCGTCGTCGTCGTCGTCGTCGTCGTTGGACGAGTCGTCGTCGTCGTCGTCGTCATTGGACGAGTCGTCATCGCCATCATCGCCGTCGTCGTCCCCCTCTTGGGCCGGCGGCACCGGCCCCAGGGCCATCGCAGACTACGAGGGGATCTGGGCCAGGGGGCGGCCCGTCTGGCGCGGAGATGCTGCCAGGGAAACGGAACCACGTCTGAGGCACTGGAGAGAACTTGCCGACTCCGCAGTCGGCCAGTCGGGGAGTCGGCCCGTCGGCCAGTCGGCCGGTCGTGGAGTCGGCCGAGTCGGCCAGTCGGCCAGTCGGCCAGTCGGCCAGGCGAGGGGGGAGTCGGATATAGCTCGTCGCAGCGCCCCAGTTAGGAGCAGGTGCCGGGGCGGCCCAGTCCTCTGGCATCGTGGGGTGCATCACGGGGCTGTTGCGGTACCTCTCGACGTGCTGCTCCAGGCCCTGGTGCGGGTACGCCCAGGAGACCTCGCAGACCTCCCGGGGGCCCGGAGGCGGGAGGGCCCCTCGCACGGCCTCGGAGGGGCTCGGCTTCGCCTCGGGCTGGCGGCGCCGAGAACCACCGGGCTCGCCTTCGAGGCCCTGGAGCGCCTCCCCGAGGTGAGCAGAGGCCAGGCTCCACGGGCAAGCGCAGAACGGGCTCACGAGGGCGCCGCTCGCGGAGCCCCCCGGAGGAGGGGAGGGGAGCGGGGAGCAGGAGGGGGATGGGGAGAGACGGGGGGGTGGATAGGAGAGGAGGGCGGAGAGGGGGGGGAGGGCGGAGAAGCGAGGGAGGGGAGGAGGAGGAAGCCGCAAGAGGGGCGGCGAGAGCGGGAAGGAGAGATGGGGGAAGTGAAAAGGGAGGGGGGAGGAGGGAGGGGAGGAGGGGGAAGGAAGTTGCGCCGGAGTGGGCCTCGGATTAAGCGGGATTCAGCGGGATTCAGCGGGATTGAGCCGGATTTCGGACCAGGGCAAAATCAGAAGTTGACCTCCCAGGAGTTGCATCCGAACAGGAGGACGAGATCGAGGAAAGACTCTGGTTAGGAAAAGGTCAGAGCGTTGGAGACGTGGGCCCTTCGGGCGCTGCTTCATTGGTGGGGGGGATGCGCTGAGGGGGGAGAGAGCGAGAGAGAGAGAGAGAGAGACATGCACCTTTCGTGCCCCCTCTGGGTCCTAAAGGGGGCCCCCCTTCGGGCCCGAGCCGTGCACCTCTCTCTCTGCGCCGCGCCCGCCTCCTGGCCAGCCGCGAGGCGCCAGCCCGACGCCACGAGAGGCAACGCCCTCCGCCGCGGGGCGGGGCAGCCCTGGGGCTCGAGCGACGCCCACGGGCCCGGGAGGCGGCCAGGAGGGCAGAGGCACGGGAGGCCGCGGGGCGTGAAGGACAGCGGAGGAGGCGGCGCCCAGAGGCCCCCCGCGTCGTGGCGAGATCACGACGGGAGGCTCTCTGGACGCGTTCGGCCCCTGGGGGGCCCCTCTCCAGGCCCGGAGGGAACGCCACCCGACGAGCTCGGGATGGAAAGCTGGCCCCGGGGAAGGGGCCCAGACGTCTGGGGTGCGGGGCGGGGGGATCTCTCCACAGCCGCCGCCGGGGGAGCCGACGTCCTGGTGCCCCAGCGGGCGGTGGATGTGGATGGATGCCATCCATGCCTCAGCTCCCAGGGGCGGGGCCGAGGATGTCCACATCCGCCGCCCGTGGCGGCCCGCGGAGAGCCATCCCCCAGGCGGTGCTGGTGGAGAAGTCCCCGCCTCGCAAGGGGGGGGGGGGGGGGCGCGCCGCGCAAGAGCACGGCATCGGGGGGAATGGGCGTGCCGGCCTCGCCGGCAGCAGAAGCCCGCTCCGCCCCCCTGCGCGGGGCAGAGCCCGCGGGCGCCGCCGCCCGCGGGCGAGACAGGCCCCACGGGCGGAGCGGGCCGCGGGCGAGCCCGGCGGCGGGCCGAGTCTCGAGCGCGGGCGAGGGCGCGCCGCGGGCGAAGCCGACCCCGCGGGCGAGCCGGGCAGCGGGCGAGGCTCGACCGCGGGCGAGAGCAGGCCGCGGACGAAGCCGACTGGGCGAGAGGAGGCAGGAGGTGAGGGGCAGCGACAGGGGGGATGGGCATCGGGGGGGAAAACGTCGACCTGGACTCGGCGAGACATCGCAGGTAGATCGGCGACGTCGGCCCCCGACAGCGAATCCCCAGGTTCCGGTGCGGGGTGGGGCCAACGGGCCCCGTATCGGCGATGCGTGGACGATTGGGGGATCGATTCCTCCTCCTCCTCCTCCTCCTCCTCCTCCTCCTCCTCCTCCTCCTCCTCCTCCTCCTCCTCCTCCTCCTCCTCCTCCTCCTCCTCCTCCTCCTCCTCCACAATTACACAAGATGAAAATACTCTCCCACTTCCCTGATGGCGTCCCGAAGATATCCCCCCCCCCCGTACTGTTTTTTAACACACAAGATTCCCGGAAACGGGTTTTCGCCTGCATTTTTTCAAAATGCTGCTCTCGCTGAGGCGCCGGCCTCATTTCTGCTCCCGAATCGTTCCGAATCGTGCTCCCGCTGCAGCGTGGGCCTCATTTTCGGATCGGTGTTTGGCCTCCGTCGTTCAGGATGGCGTTCTCGCCCCAGCGCGGGCCTCTTTCTCGCGCGCCCATCCGCCCGCCACCACCGCGCCGCACCACCACCACGACCACCACCACCACCACCACCACCACCACCACAACCACAACCAGCACCAGCACCAGCACCAGCACCAGCACCAGCACCACCAGCACCAGCACCAGCACCAGCACCAGCAGCACCAGCACCAGCAGCACCAGCAGCAGCAGCAGCACCACCAGCAGCACCAGCAGAAGCAGCAGCACCACCACCACCTCCACCACACCACCACGACAACCACGCACACACGCACACACGCACGCACGCACGCACGCACGCGCACCACCACCCACTACGCACGCGCGCGCGGAGCCACAGGTCCGCTACGACACGCGTCCGCGGATAGAGAAAATCAGCGCCATGGTAAGGGATGGGAGGGAGGGGTAGGACGTCAGATATGACGCGAGCGCACCTAGCTTGTCCTAGGCCCCTCCTCCCCCCCGTATCGTTGCCCCCGAGAAGAGCAAGTCGGGAAGACGCGGCAGAACGTGCTGGGGCCAGCGGAGAGCACGGCCGCGGCCCACGCGCAGGCCCTCTCCTGGGGGCCTCCCCAAGATGTGAGCCGAGCCGCGTGTCCCCCGAGCCGTGTCGGGGGCCAGCGAGACCGACCGCTGGCGAAACCGACCGCTGGCGGAGCCCGCCGTCCGCGAAACCCACGGCTGGCGAAACCTACGACCAGCGAGACCGACCGCCCACGAAGCCGACCCAGGCGAAGCCGGCCGCCAGCCAAACCGACCGAGCGAAACGAGCCAGTGGCGAAACCGACCCCTGGCGAAACCGACACCCTGGCGAAACCGACCCACGCCTCCTGCCTTCCCCCATGTTTTTGCGCCCGGGTCCCCAATGCCGGGCGAGCGCTGCGCGTCGAGCCCGCACTCTCACGCTGCCGATGCTTGCGCTGCAGATTGAGTCAGCGCTCGTGCATGACATGTGCGCGTGGCCGAGCGGTCGACGACGAACCCGTAGCTGAACGGCGGAATCTGCGCGGCCGTGGAGCTGGGCTGAAGCACGGGTCGCAGGCTGGAGCCCGGCGCGAGCAAGTTTCCGTTCAGGAGCACGCCGTCGGACGTCAGATTACCGTACGGGGCCGTGAGAACGTAGAGCTCGAGCTCCGCGCCAGCTGCCACGTGCGCGGAATCTGCGACTGCAAGCTTCAGGGCGAAGCCGGTGCTGGACGGGTTGATGTAGGAGACCACGACACCGCCGCCAACCGCGCAGGCCGCGTGGAATCTGGCCGCACCCGGAGCGCAGCGGGGCGCTGCGACGGAGGCGCGAAGGCGTGTGGGGCCTACAAGCGATCGCCAGAGGAGGGCAGTGAAGTAGTCTGGGTGCGGTGTCAATCTCCCAGATCCTGATGCCGAATACCAGCCCGGTGGGCCCATCATGGCGTAGCTGGAGCCCCCGCCGATGCCACTGAAGCCGACCAAGTCCTGCCTGTAGACCTGGGCAAGCCCCCGCTCCCCGAGGACACCAAGAATGTCGACGAAATAGAAGCCGGCCACGAAGCGATTGCTCTTGCCGGGACAGCCCGCGTCAGCCGTCGTCGCCGTCTCGGACAGCACCAGGTCCGCACGAGGCACCAGCTCCCGACGCACGGCGTCCCACGCGTCGATGGTGGGCAACACACGGCCGGCCCACAGGTCGGGGTCTAGAAACCTAGACAGGTTCCCGCACTTGGACGCACTTGGATCCCTGGGGTCGGGCCCCTGGAAGCCGTAGTCGTGCACGGTGAGGTCGTCGATGGTGTGGTTTGCACTGGAAAGCAGGCGGCGCAGGTAGGCCATACTCGCGCAGGGCGAGCTCTGAGTTCCCTGTCCGAAGCAGACGTCGGGTCCCTGGATCCGGGGCCGGCGCGACGCCTCTGGGTAGTAGCGGCGCAGGAGCTCGTCCAGGACGACGAAATCGCGGCCGTGCTGGTCTGGGGTGGGAAAGCCGGCGTTCCTCGTCTGCCAGTGTCCGGGCTCGTTGCCGAGCTGGAAAGCCCAGACAGACTGGCGAGCACTCTGCATGTGATCGAGCTGCCGGACGACGTCCTGCGGGTCCCAGGTGACATTGGACAGCACGCCTGGCCCGCGGCCGACGCGCATGTTGAGGTCCCAGGCGAGCCGAAAGCCGCAGCGGCTGGCGAAGGCCACGATGCGATCCCAATAGCCCGCGTCGAGGCGGATGGTGCCGTGGGTCGAGTTGAAGCCGAGGTCGTCAGCGGCCGACCCACCGATGCGCAGGGTCATGGGCTCCACCCCGTCGCTCCTACCCGCGGCGGCCAGGCGGCAAGCCAGGAGCACGAGGTCGGGGTCCGCGACGTCGAGCCGCGCGTCCTGGAAAAGCGAGGCCGCGTCGATGTTGACGCCGAGGAAAGCCGCGCGCGTCTTCTGGCCACACGCAAGGAGCGACTCTGGGCAGGAGCGACCTGCGGTGCGCGGCTCCGGGCGGGAGCGCGACGGGGCCAACTTCGAGCGAGAGAGCCGCTTCAGGCCAGTGCTGGCAGCACCCCCGGGGGTCCGCACCAGAGGCCACCCCGGCGAAGGGCCACTCTTGCGCGGAGCCGAGTCTTGGCGAGCGGGGGCGCGTCCGCGCGGACGGTGACGGTGACCGATGGCGCCGCCGCGGCCCGCGGTTCCCCGCTGCTCCTGCGGCTGCAGGCGAAGAGCGCGGCCCCCGCCGCGGCGCAGAGAACGGCCCGGGACATGCCGGGGCGTCTTTGGGCGCAGGCGCGCGCCTGCAGCGATAAGGGGGCGGCCGGACACGGGCGGGCAGGGGAGGAGCACAGGGAGCCAGGAGAGCAGCTACAACAACTCCACCGCCTCCGCGGATACCGGCAGTGGAAAGATCGGCATTGCAAGGGCATCACAATCATTGGATTTCTATATATGTATATATATATATACATACGTATGTATATACATATACATACGTATATATATATATAGCTAGATATCGGAGGGAACAACATGTTCCAGTCTGGACAAGAAAATCATGTATCAGCGAATGGTTTTTGTGTGGCAGGGCTAATGAGGAGGGGGGGAGACAACGAGAGAGGGAGAGAGGGCGATCATTGACTCATTCTGGTCGAAACCAGCGCTGCCTTCAAAATCCGCACCGCCTGATATTGTGTCGCTCCAGATAGAAGCAGTGCAGCTCCTTCCGATGAGCTCGTCAGGCCAGCCCGGGTCACAGAGGGGACTGGACGGGGACCGCGTCAGGAGCTGAGCAGAGGATGGGCGGCCTGGCAGGCGGAGGCTGCGGGGCAGGCAGCGCAGGCAACGAGGACACGGCCCTGGATCCGATCACACAGGGCAGGCATGCAGGGCGCCCGGCCGAGGAGAGCGAGAGAGCCGGGCGCGGAACACGAGGGCGAGGAGCGCGAGATCCAGCCCTGCAGGCAAAGAGGGCAGTAAGGGCGTTTCGCAGCTCGTACCTGGAGCACGCACCGAGGTCCCTTCGCTTCCAGCCGCGGGCGCCGGAGCTGCTCCGAGCTGCAGTCACTCACAGCGGCGGGCTCCCGCGGCGGGCGGACGAGGCCCGCGCGAGAGGAGGGAGAGAGGGAGCAGCCGCAGACCCCGCACCGCAGAGCACACGGGGGGGAGGGGCGGAGCGCCCGGCACGCGGGCAGAGGGGCCGCGGCGGCAAAAGCACCAGCAAAAGCAGGTCAGGGATTGACGATCCAACAACACACACCCGTACCCACAGGGGGGTCGGAGAGGGCTATGGGTGCGTGTTGTCGGATGGGGGTCCCCGCTCAAACGGGAGCGTTCCCCAGAGTCCGACAACCCGCACCCATACCCATAGCCGGTCCTCCTCTCAACGACCCCCTATGGGTATGGGTGTGTGTTGTTCGTTCGTCAAGGGATGCCACGTACGCGCGGTCGGCCCGCCCAGCGGCGGGGGGCTCGCTCCTTAGGGAGCACCGGGTGGGCCCAGGCCAGGGAGAGGGAGAGGGCGTGAGGCGACGACGCCAGGCCTGCCCGGGCCAGCGCGCTGCTTCCGGGAAAGCACTCCGGAAGCCCAAGCAGGCCCCTGAAACCCCGCAACGAAGCCCAAATAGGCCCCTGAAACCCCGCAACGAGGACCGTGCGCGGGTGCTGTTCACTGGATTGTCCCGGTCATTCTTCTCCTCCTCCTCATCCACTTCCCCCTGAAATAATTATCTCCCAGCAATTACTCACCCGACGCGTTCCCCATCTTGATGCACAAGGGCACCAAAGCCATGTATCTGGTCATGCCCGCCACCGACGGAGAACAGGAGGAGCGAGGCGCTGGACAGCCTCACCCAAATTGGCCGACGTGCCGTGGGCATGCTGTGGAGTGTCCTTGGGTCCTTATGAATTCTCCAAAGCAATTTTTTTTGAAACTCTTGAAGAGGCTGATGGCCAAATGGCCAGAATCACCTGTTGGTGTTGCGTGTCTTTTCTGGAAGCCAGAATCCAGTGAATTAAACAATGTAGTGTTGAATGCGCTCGCACCCCAGGGAGCTGCGAACAGCCCCAGTAGCTCTCATGTGTCACGGTGGCCCCCGAGATCTCCAAGAGGCCCTCGAGAGCCCCCCCAAGGCGCCACAGAGGCCCCTACGAGAGCCCAAGGGGACCTTGAAAGGACGACGCCACACGAGACTTCCAAGAGGCCCCTGCAAAGGCATCCATAGAGACCCCAACAGGTATTCAAGAGGCCTCTGATCCACAACCTAGACACGGTGGTGAGATAGGCAGAAGGTCAGTTAATACCGATTGTCACCAGCATGGTTTGGCCAATTGTTCATCATAGTTTGTGCTCTGGCCTTCCATGCGACGAGTACTTCTTGCAACCTGACAGAGACTGCGTTGTCGTGCACTTCGTTTGCAACGCACCAGATATAGTGTCCCACTCACCAGCTGGGCATTTGGTGATATAATTTCCCTCACCACCGCCTCTCCCACGTTAAGAACATGGTTAAGTCTCCGCATAACATCTTCTGGCGGCAAAGAATGGCGAATCCAAACGAGGAGATGAACATGGTCGGATACGGTTTTGAAGTCCCCATTCAGCGCAGAATCGTTCACCTTTTCCACTATACGCCATGCCTGCAGAACGCGACCGCCAACCAAGCATCTGAGCCTTTCGACATAGCAAATTCCGCCGCCTACCTTGTGGGGCCACCGAGCTGCGCGGATGAGGTTTCCTGCACCCTGCGCTAGTTCCAGCTTCCACTTTCCAATGTTATAATACTGTTTGTCTGCTGTCTACTGTTAAATGTTGCTGTCCCCGTGGAAGGGGGGGACCGAAAACCAGCCTGCTACCTTCCCAGAATCGCGTTGTTTGAATTTCTGGTGGGTTTGCCAGATTCTGCGCCCCCGAGGCCAAAATCCCTTGCAAATTGCATCAGGCTCGCGCTGTATCAGTTCCGCCAAAATCGTGCTCCCGAGACCAGAATCCCGCGTAAATTAAATCAGCTCCCCGCCCCCGAAGACAGAATCCCTTGTACATTACACTAGGTTCGCGCCCCCGAGGCCAGACTCCCTCGCAAGACACTCCAGATTCGCGCCCCCGAGGACAGAGAGAGAGCGCGTTTCACAGGCGCTCGCCTTGGGAACATTCGGCGGCGCGTTTCGAACCCGGGGGGTGGCCCCCCCCCAACACTCGGCGCCGTCGATCAGAACCAGGGGGACTCCCCTCCCCCCTACCCCCGCCCCCCCTCCCGAACCCCCCCCGCCCCTTGGGGACGGGGGAGTTCCAACCCCCCCCCTCCCACCCTTGGCGCCGGCGCCGGCGCCGGCACTGGCGGCCGCCAGCAGCGCCGACGGCGGGGACGCAGCGACGATGACAAGAGAGGGCCCAGCGGGAGGAGAGGGGAGTGGGAGGGGAGTGGGGGGGGGGTCCAAAGCCCCCCCCCCCCCGGCGCTGGCGCTGGCGGCGGCCAGCAGCGCCGACGGCGAGCCCCCGAGACCCTTCTAGACCTCAAGAGGCATTATCCAATAGAATTCTGACCCAAAGCCAAAACACGGTGGCGGGAAGAGCCGAAGGCCACACCAACACCACAACCCACCACCACCACCACCACCACAAACCACCACAAAACACCACCACCAAACCACCACCACCACCACAACCACCACAAACCACCATCACCACAACCACCACCATCACCACGAACCACCACACCGCCACCACCACCACCACCACCAAAAACGCCACCACCACCACCACCACCACCACAACCCACCGCAACCCACCACAACCACCAACAACACCACCACCACCACCACCACAAACCACCACACTATTGCCACCAACATCACCACCACCGCCACCACCATAACCATCACCACAACCCACCACCACCACAAACCACCACACCACCACCACCACAACCACCACCACCACCACCCACCACCCACCACCCACAACCACCAATGCCGCTACCAGCAGCAGCACCACCAACAACACCACAGCCCATCACCACCACCACCACCACCACAATCTACCACGCCACCACCACCACCACCGCCACCACCACTACCACAACCACCACCACCCACCACCCACCACCACAACCACCAACCCACCACACAACCACCACCACCACCACAACCACCACCACCACCACAACCACCACCACCACACCTCACCACCACCACCACCACCACCACCACCACCACAACAACCCACCACCACTACCACCACAACGACAAACTACCACACCACCACAACAACCGCAACAACCACCACCACTACCAGCAGCACAACCCACCACCACCACCACCACCGCCACCACCATCACCACCACCACCACCTCCACAAAACACCGCCACCACCACCACAACCCACACCACCACCACACCACCACCACAACCACCACCACCACCACCACCACCGCCACCACCACCACCACCGCCACAACCCACCACCACCACCACAAATCACCACAACACCACCACCACAACAGACCACCACCACCACAACCACCACCACCACGACACCACCACCACCACCACAGCAACAACAACACACCACCACACCACCACCACCACAACCACCACCACCGCCACCACCACCAACCCACCCACCACCACCACCACCATAAACCTCCACACCACCCCCACCACCACCACCACCACCGCCACCCACCACCACAACCACACCACCACAACAGACCACCACCACCACCACCATAACCACCACCAACACCACCACCACCACCACAACCCACCAGCACCACCACAACCAGTACCACCACAACCACCACGACAGACCACCACACCACCACCGCCACCACCACCACAACGTTAACCCACCACCACCACCACAGCTACCACCACCACCACCAAAAACCACCGCACCACCACCACCATCACCGCCACCACCACAACTACAACCTGCCACCACAACCACCACCACAACCACCACCACCACCATTTCCAACCACACCACCACCACCACCACCACCACCACCACCGCCACAACCACCACCACCGCCACCACAACCACCTCGGCCCACCACCACCACCACCTCAGAGAGGCCCCAAGAGACGCCCAAGAGGCGCCCAGAACTGCCTCTCAGAGGCCCCCGAGAGCCCTCCGACGAGACCCAAAGAGGCATCCATTAGGACTCTGACCCAAAACCAAGGCACGGTGGCGGAGCGTCGTCGTCGTCGTCATCATCGTCGCCGTCGTCCTCGTCGACGCTCCCCGCCGCCACCGCCCGCCGCCGCAGGCGCCGGCGCTGGCCCAGAAAGGAAGTCGTCGTCCCCGCCGCCGCCGCCGCCAGCCGCCGCCGACGCAGGCGCTGGCCCAAGGAGAGGGAGAGAGGAGAAAAAGGGAGGGGGTCGAAAGACCCCCCCCTCCGTCACAGGAGGAGGGGGTGTCCAGCTCCAAACCCCCCCCCCTCAAAGCGACCACAGAACGCGCTCTTTCCGAGGACAGGATCCCATTTAAATTACACCTTGTTCGCGCTTCCGAGGCCAGAATCCTGCTAAAATTGTATCAAGTTCGCGCCCCGGAAACAATAACGCCTTGCAAATATTCAGGTTCCCGCTCCCGAAGACAGAATCACTTATATAAATTACACCTGACTCGAACTCCCACAGCCAAACTCCCTTGCAAAAAAACTCCGGATTCGTGCTCCCGGGGCCAGAACCCCTCAAAATTACACCAGATTCGCGCTCCAGCGACCGGAACCCCTTCCCGATTACACCAGATTCGCGCTCCGGAACCCAAACTCCTTGGAAAATCATAACGGACCCGAGGCCAGAATCTGATTCGGGCTGACGAGGCCAAAATCATCTGAGAACTCGGGTCGGCTTCCTGAACAATCGGGGCTGGACCCGCAGCTACGAATCGAAGACAGCTCCAACCGCGCGAGTATGCCAAAAGGCTTCAAGCACCCGCACCAAATCTTTGGAAGAGGGATTCAAATATACAACCTTAGAGAAACGCTCTAAGAAGGAAACAAAAGATTCAAGAAGAACTTCAACGTATCAACGCGTTTGCTTGATGCCAATCACCCTCGCATCGTGTGGCCCAGAAGTCTTCAAAATGGTGCCGAAACACCTCAACATAGCTCTGACACATCCCATTGCGGCAGAGGGCTAAGCCCTTTACGGATAGGACCTCCACCAGCCTCGACCACCGTCCTTGCAGACGCCCACATGCATCGCCGCACCAAGCGCGCTCGGCTCGGCAAAACCATTCGGGCAACATCTACGTGACACATTCACACTGTGTCGCTGCTGAGCGTGATTCTTTGATAGTGTGGCGCGCTGCTCCGCCTCTCCGAACCTGCGAATTTGTAAGATATGAATGGCATGAGGCGTCGGGCTGATTACAATAGTTCCCACCTGACATCTCGGAGTGTATATATGTGTGTGTATACAAATGTATTGCCTCCGTTGAATGCCCTCTCCCACATCCCCTTGGCATTTGATGGGGCTCGGCGTGTCTCCGCATAGAGCAGATGGCGATCACCCCCACAAGCGTAGATAAGCGCATGGTGCCAGCCCCCAAAACCTTGGCTGGGTCGGGAATGGCGCAACAGCCGGAGAAATACGGTCGGGGACTCTTGCTCAGCGTGTCGCCGCGGCGGCCCCGGCGACACGCTGTGCCCTGCAAGCGGATATGAAGGGGCCCTGGGACACACGAATAAATACACACAAATACCTGGATTCCCCTTATCTTCCTATATTTTATGGGTTTCTGTCTTCCCCCAACTTCTCATATTTTCCCATGTATTCTGGGGAAAAGACGATGAATTGTGTCTGTGTTTTTTCCCCTCCTGAGGATAGCGTGCCGCTCCGCCCCGCGGGAAGGGAGGCTCGGCAGGGCTCGGGGCGTTGCAGCCTGAAGAGTGGAAAGTGGACGGCGTGTCGCGCCGCAGCGCGGTGGGCCAAAACCGACGGAGCGATACGCTTAAGAGGCAGCTACTCATGGGCAGCCTGGGAATCCAAGAAAATATTAACTTGCACGAAAAATGTTGTCAAAACCAGGTGCTGCGACACGGGTGAAATAAAGACGTCTCCGCTGCACAACGACGCAGAAACCGCTCGCTGCATCGGCGCAGTGGCACGCAGAGCACACGCGGCAGCGGAACCTGTCGATCGCGCATCGGATGCGCGATCCAAGAGCTCCCGGCCGTGCGCGGGATGCCAGCGACCAGGCGCCGCCCCCCGACCCGCAGCCGGCGGGGCAGCGGCCCGCGATCCTCCTCCTCCTCCTCCTCCTCCGCCTCCTCCTCCTCCTCCTCCTCCTCCTCCTCCTCCTCCTTCGCCTTCTCCTCCAGCTCCTCCTCCCCTTGTTCCTCCTCCTCCTCCTCCTCCTCCTCCTCCTCCTCCTCCTCCTCCTCCTCCTCCTCCTCCTCCTCCTCCTCGACCACCGCCGCGTGCCGCTGCCCCCGCCCTCTCTATGGGGCCGGCACTGCCCCCGCGCTCGCGAGAGCGCGCGCGGGCAGACTGGCCGAGCACGGCTGCTCGCCCACCACCTTCGCCCCCGGGGAAGACACTCGAGCAGGCGAGGCAGGGGCAGGGCCACGCCGTCGCCACCGCCACGCGCGGGCAGGAAGCCCTCGAGGCGGACTTGATCGGAGGCGCAGGGGGTACGAAGGATCCGTGCTGGGCCAGCTGCTCCTTCCTCCCGGCGGGGCGCGAGCCCGAACCTATTCCCCATTCCCCTGGCCGCGCTTTAGGCCGCAGTAGTGGGTCTGGCGCAGACGGGTCCGCGGTCCGCGGGGAGAAGGGCAGCAGTAATTGCAATAATTGCTGCCTGGATGCACTAGTTTGCGCGATGGGTGCAATACTTGCGCAAGGGTGCATTTGTGTATGTCCTGTTCCTCCTCCTCCTTCTCCTCAATCTCCTCCTCCTTCTCCTTCTCCTCCTTCTCCTCATCCTCATCCTCATCCTCATCCTCATCCTCATCCTCATGCTCATCATCATCCTCATCCTCATCCTCATCCTCCTCCTCCTCATCATCATCCTCATCCTCATCATCATCATCATCAGCATCATCATCATCATCATCATCAGCATCATCATCAGCATCAGCATCAGCATCAGCATCATCATCATCATCATCATCATCAGCATCATCATCATCATCATCATCATCATCATCATCATCATCATCGTCGTCGTCATCATCATCATCATCATCATCATCATCATCATCATCCTCATCCTCATCCTCATCCTCATCCTCTTTCTCTTCTCCTCTATCCTCTCCCAGCACTCGGAAGAATTCTTGCGCGTGGCTCGCAACACGGCACTCCGAGGACGATGTGCTTACCGACACGCGTGACGCACGACCGATCCTCAGAGCCCTAAAAAACAGGGACACTGAGAACAGAGGACAGTGGCACCCCCAGCAACTGCCTCCACTATTCGTTTTCTCTGGAGCCCTGGTTTGCGATGTCCTGGCTTCCGTCGTTCTGATACAGTCAACCCTGTATGATATAAGGATGCACGGTAAGGATGTAAGGGCCTTGGAAGGCCTGGTCGACACTTTGCAGGCGGGGCGCGGCCAGCGAAAGCGGCCAAGGATGGGCCGAGGAGGCAAGGATGCAAGGGTACCCTTGGGAAGGTTGCCCATCCTTACTATGCAGGTTGACTAGAATCGTTTTCTCTGGCGGGGTATTGCAGAGTCCTGGTTTGCGCTGTCCTGGTTTCCGTCGTTCTGATAGTCTGCTTGCGGCCCCCCTCTGGGTGCGGAGGCGGCGACACCTTCGCGCTCTCGAAGCACCAGTCGTTGAACCTGTGAAAGATGTCTGTCAGCCGCACCGCGCTCTCGTGCTCCAACATGTTCACAAACGCGTAACCGAGATTCACGCCTCCGAAGCACCGCAACGCGGCCGCTCTGGCCACAAAATGAAACTGGGAGGGAGAGAAGAAGAAAGAGAAGCCCAAAGGGCAGGCCTGAAGACCGAGAACCCCTCGGAGGGGGAGGGGGGAGGAACACAACTCTTGTTTGACAAAGCTAAGCCTCTGCAGGGCCCTTACCCAGGCCCGGGGCCCACGAGCGGTCGAACAACTGCTCGGAATGATGGACTGAACCTGGGGAAACGGTTGAGACCTCCACTGGCCCACAGTCTGGAAAATCACGACGTCGGGAATCTGAGGAGAAAGAGAACACGGACACGGGGAGGCGGAAGTGGAAGAGTGGAACGGGGGCGTACGGAGCAGAGAACTCACATCTGGGCTACGGATTACACAGGAATGCTCTGCTGTTCTGCTGCAGAACAGCAACCATATAACAAACAGGATCCGTGCCCATGTATAGTGTTTGATCCGTCTGGTGCTTCTTATCCGAACCCTACTAGAACGCAACAGCGTTTTGTTTAGGCCAGGGCTGTCCTACAACTACGTACTGCATCTGAGGCTGAGCTAAAATTTAATTTCGGAAACTGTAGCTACTGACTTGCAGCCCTATCGTGTGCGACGGTAGCACGGCCGAACGGGCCCTGGGGTATTGTTGAACATGAACAGTGCCGCGACGTGCTACTTGTCCTGATGTAAGATCCCACTTACGCCCGCCAGCAATCACTAATTCATCAAAGTGCCAACACCGAACCTTTCTGATCAACCAATCGCATAGCGTGTTGCGGTTGGGACCGTGAGCGAAATATGAAATCCCCCGCGTCTGAGTTTCGACTTACACGCTTAAGACCGAGAAAATCGAGTGCTCGCCAGCTGGAAATCGAATGTCACTAAAACGAAACTGCCCGAAGTCCAAACACTCCACGTAATTGGTGATACGGACCCCGTAATCCGACCATCTGGAACCGTAAACGATTGCGGCTCAAAAAACTTCCGAAAATCCAATACCGATGAACTGAACATACCGACATACCGACCGACGTCGTAAACAGCATGTGGCTGAAGAGTGGCACGCACTGTGACTAATTGGTTTTGAGTCGAAACGCTGCACAACTGATCTGCGACCATATCTTCCAAAGTAGCATTCGGTCCAACAGCGCGTCACATCAGGCTCACCAGATCGGGCATTCCCTTTCCCCCGCCCGAAAGACAAGGCTGCCTTCGCAAGCACACGCCGCAACTGAATCCACGCGAGAAGCACATGCAATAAACGCCAGCCATCGTGGTCCGCCTATCTCACGGAAGGGAAATATGGCCATGGACTTGTTTCGTGGAGCGCGTCCGCCGATCACGGTCGGCCGGAACGGTGCGTGCCGCTCTTAATTACCGCTCACGTTGGCACAATTGGGCAGATCGTCCATTTTGCCCTGTGAACATCCTCGGTCGCCAGTGGTTCCGTCACCCGTTGCCTTATCTCCCGCGCGGTCAAGGTTGCCCACGAGCGGCCATAATCGGTGAGAAGGAGTTGCCGCCCTACGAAATTACGCGCCATTCCCACGCGTAACAGGGGGCGCATGGCGCTTCACCTTTTCCAATTACTCATCATTTGCCCCTGCCCACTGCATCTCCGAGCTCCGATCGCAAAAACGATGACATCGTCAACGCACGCAGCCCATGCCATTCTGACCCAGCCGCTCAGGCGAAGAAGCCGTCGTCGAAGGCGCTCTGCACCCCCTGCAAGTCGCCCTCAACGCACGCGGCCAAAGCCAGCTGCCACAACATAGGAAACCGAACTCTATACACCAACGGGTTTTCCGGCCCTGCACTGAAACTCTCACAAGAAATCAGACCCCGGTGCACGCGGGATCCCAGCGTATACATTTTTCTTTGTTACACTCTGCAAACGGGGAAGAAGTGCACACCACGCCACCCCGACGTCGCCCCCCACCCTCAAAAAGAGGTCCTGGGATTGAAAGAGAGCCCGTCACTGGCAATGCATACGTTCCAGCTTCCGACAACAACTTAGCGCCCGCCGCGCCATGCATTAAGTTCAGCGGTGGCAAACAGAAGATAAAAAGGTGCCTCGCCGTCGCCTGCGCGAAGCGCCCACGGCCCGCACCGTCGAAGGCGCCCCCTCGCAGTCGCAGGCGGCCCCATGCAGACATTCCTCCGCTGCCAGGCCCCGGCGCCGAATTGCAAACAAGATGCGCGAAGATCCCTCAAATTGGAACCCCGCGTGAACGCTGTCAGAAAGACCGAAGACCCCATGTGCGCGCCCTTCTAGACGCTGAGAGGAGAAGCCACAATTCGCCGCGGAAGCCCCGACTCCGACGGGGCGCGCCCCATAACATCACGTTCCTGCGAGAACGGGAAGCCGCGCCCATGAACTCGGCCCATCTGCAAGAGCACGCCGCGTCGATAATGAAACCACTGGCTGACACCACTCGTTGCCAATGAAAGACCTGGCCCCCCGCGTGTCCGACGTTTCCCCTCCAGCGTCGGGAAACCCCCCATATGCAGGCCCGCCGTCGCTCTGGGCGCAGATATACCCAGCCGGTCGCCCCAAGTCCACGACAAAGCGCCGGCCCGGCCCGAGAAACCGCGACCCCCGGAGCGCCAGCCGCCCGCGGACATCGTCGCCCCCGAGATTGCGAGCGCAAGAGCAATGACCCCTGAAGTCGCCGAACGCCACCTGCTGGCCCCAGAAAGCTCGGCACTCCTCGAGTCTCCCCGGGCGCCCCGCCCCCGCTCGCGGCGCGGGCGAACGGTCGATCGCCGGAGGCGGCGACGGGCCCCGTCGCCCGAGAGCCGGCCGTCGGCCATCGCCTGCAAGGATCGACAGCAGGATCGGGCCCGAACTGCTCGCGCTGGGCGCCAGCGACGGCGGCGCTCCATCGGCCCGCCTACGACACGCACACTGCGGACGCGCCCCCGCAAGAAAGAAAGCCCTTGAACGTCAGACATGGATTTCGGGCGCGCGGGGGCCCTGCTTGTGCGGACGGGAGAGAGAAGCGCGAGCGCCGCTTCCCGTCGTTGGCGGTCGTTCGCCAGCCAGACCTCCGATCGTCGGAGATAGCAGCGTTTCGTTAAGCGCGAGGTCAACGGCATGTGCTGGCGCGCGTTCGAAGGGGCAATTCATCGTAGGTGCTGGCGAAGCTGGGGCTGCTCAGTGTCGCGGTGAACTTGGCGGCGCCAGAGATTGCGGTGTCTTCTGCGGCGTCGAAGACGGCAGTGCCTCGGCAGTGGGTGGTGTCGTCATAGGTAGAGTCACTGGCTCGCTGCCAAGGGAAGCTACTGGTTTCCTCGGAACTGTTTGAGAGGTGGCATTGTTGTCGATGGCGCTGGTGCGCGAGGGATCCAGCGCGCCTGCGCCTCGATGCCCCCTGCGATTAGCATCTGAGCTTGTGGCGTCTCACTTGGTTGTCGCGACGGCGGCGATGGCGACGTCGACGAACGTCATCGCAGCAGTAGCGCCGGCAGTGCCAGTCCTAGTAGTAGTGGACATGATGGGCAGTAGTATAACTAACTTAAAAATATTGATAACGAAAGCATTTGATTTTTATATACAAAAAATTATAGTGGTATCAGTCGTAGTCAGAATGGCACTAGTGGAAGTAATTAAAATAGAAATACAGATAGCGCTGCCGGGCACAGCCTAGTTCGGCGCTACGCAGATCAGACAGGGGCCTCGCCATCCCCGAGGGGCCGCGAACTGGACAAGGTCGCCACTGCCGCACGGCGCCCGGGGCCGAGGAGCGCCGGGCAACGGCCAAGTGCCAGGGCGCCAGGCCAACGCTCCACGAGGGCGCCGGGCGCGCCATCGCCCCACCGGAACGGGGGGGGCTCAATCGATTCCGAAGACCTCGCGCGCGGGAACGTCTCCCACGAATCCGTCGGACGCTCGACGCGCCGCAATGTCGCCGCCCGACGCGTGCGCCATCACTGTCAGGGATTGGCGCCTCTGGCACCGATCTCCTCGTCTAGCTCAAGTCGGGCACGGACCCCCTTGTTCTAGCTTGCGCGCCCCTCCACGTCTAGCGGCGCCGGTCGCGGCGCACCCCGCGCAAAACGCGCCCTGTCCCAGGGGGCCCGTCCAGGCGACTACACGAGCTGCTTGCATCGCGCGCCCCCTTCGCCTACCTCGCGACGCGATCGCCCAGGGCGGCAACTGGAAAGACCCAGCGCATAGCGGGCCCCTCGCACCGCCGCTCTCCACCAAGTGCACAGGACATGAACCAACCTTCTAAACGGTGGCCCTGCTTTCCCATTCACGTTTGTCTGGCGCCACTCCGCGAGGCAGCGACGCCCGCACTGGCAGTTGTTTTGCTCCGCGAACGCGCGGCGCCAGCCCGCGCGGCCCCCTCCCGCGACCCCCGCGACACTCAAGATGCAAGACATATGGCTGCGACCGAGCACAGCCGAACACGCGACAGAAGAACATCCGCCGAGAACACGAGACCCTCAGCGGGCCCAAACTGAAGAACATCCGACGGCAGCCCCCCCCCCTGGACGCACCAGAACATCCACCAAACACAAGGAACATGAGGGCCCCCCCGAACCGACCTCGATGCCAGACCTCGGCCCGGCCGCGTCTGCGCGCCCCCGGCCCGGGCGCCTCCGCGCCGCCCAGCGGCCAGTCCGGGCGCGCCCCCGGCCCGCGCGACCACATTGCGCGCCAGCCTGGGGCCGCGAAATCCAGCCTGGACACGCACACGTCGGGAGGGAATCTCAATGGAGGAAGACCCAGATAAGATGGTGCAAATATGTCAGCATTCGTTCCCATCACGCTTCTACTGCTAGCCTCAGAGCCAATCGCACCTCTCTGGGCCATCGCTGATGTCAGATCGTACCTGCAGGAGCTCGCGCAGTCGTCTGTGTTCCTGAGGTCCGCGAGCCTCGCCCCCGTCACGTTGTGGCAGACGCGGGTGCTAAGTGCGCAAAATATGCCTCCCTTCAGGGCCCAAGAAGTCTGTCCACTCCTCGCTGGCGGGGTCGCAGTTGGCGCGCGCGGTAGTTGTCTTCCTCGGCTCTCCGATACCCGCCGCGCCAATTGCAGAGCCAATCGACGGACGAAGAACAGCCATATCGCACTTTCGCCAAGGAAACTTGGCTTCTGAATCGGTATACCTTCGCCTCTCACGATCCCGTCGTCGTCGCCCTTTGCGCAGGGCATCCGTGTCATTCTTGATGGCAGCGCCAACTTGCGCCACAGCCTCCACCTCCGCCGCCGTCGCATGCGACTGCCAGAAAATGTTTCGCGTTGCGGGCCGGACCGAATCCTGTCAATATTGTGTCATGGCTTCCTTGCATATGACTCCTATGATAAATGAAATATACCCTGTCGTCGCGGGTGTGACTCCAGCGTGCCCAAAGATACTTCCAGTTCCTCCACTGCGTCGCGCAACCTTTTCCCGGAATCAAATATACGTTCACTATGAAGCGCTGCGCCTGCTAGTCGTTGTCGATCCCCGCCGTTCTCTTCATTGCTGCTGGCAGACAGGGGTGATGACCTGAATATTGGCTACAATAAGCACATGATCAAAAAATGCGGCGAAAGCTCGAGCCTGTTCTGCTGATATTGCCATGCTGCTGCCCAGCGAACAAATCATCTCGCGCTTTGTAGAAAGCAACTGCAAAGCATTTGAAATGACGCTCCATTCTCGTTAAGCAGTACGTATATCCAACCTGTGTCGTCGTGCTGGTTGCAACCAATTTGGAAATAATCAACCGTTCATAAGAAAATCGCCAGCAACTGATTCATGCACCGCGCCGAATGCGCTTACAACGGGGTCGCCCGTAAAATGCGGCACCATTCCAGAGTTCATATCCATCAGCAGCTCTGGAGTCTAGCGCTGTGACACACATAACAGTTCATCGTGTGTCCATCCCGCTCCATACTTGCGCGCGTCTGTTCCACATTGGTGCCGCTCCTCGCGCTGACGGCCCCAGCGGAAAACACAATATGCAAACTGCCAGCATCAAGGGGGAGGACGCCACTGACTCAGTCCCGCCGCGACGACGTCCCTTGGGTGCTGGAGCGGTCTTGCGGATGTCTGAGGTGCCGAAGGTGCGCGTGGACACGAGGCGCGAGCAGCCACAACGGGCGTTCGCTATCCGAGCTCGCTCCCACCAGAAGTGAATCACGGTGGAGCTGCGCCGATGCCCTGCGATGAGCCTCTGACCACCACGCGCTGGCGCGCAGGTCCCAGGTGGGCCCGCGGTACCAGCGCCCGTCAGGGCGTCAACTACAGTCGGGGCGTTGACCGAAGGAACCCTACATAAGGAACGAGGCCCCGTTTTCCCATCAGTTAAAGTTCGATTTCCCATCGAAAACCTACGGAAAACCTAAGGCAAGCTGCGAAATAATCAAGGAACACGGAGCCCCTCCCAAACGAAAAGGGTTCCTTCTTCAGCGCCCCGACTGTATTGTGTCCCATCCGCGCTCAGCAAGTCCTGACGGTTCCAGACACGGATGGACGTGTCACGGGACTCCGTCGGTGTCAGGCACACGTCGTTCATTGCTAGCCGTGCTCATTTCTACTTGTGCGCCTTTCTAAGTGTTCCTGGCCCCCTAGTGGCCAGGAAGGGGCCCAGGATAGAACAGTCAGAAATGAAAGGACCTTGGCCCCCAAAAAATCAAAGAATGTTCGAAGGACTAGAGATGAACAATGTGCACTGCAGCGCCAGCAGCAGCGGCCAGAGCACTGGGCGCGCCTGCCTGCCCCCGCGGGGGCGCGGGAAGGGGGCACCCTGGCTGCCCGTCCACCTCCGCCCCACGGGCGCGGCTGCCCCCCATCGTTGCTCGGCGCTCCTGGGGGCCCGCGCGTGGTCGGAGCCTGTCGAGAGAAAAAGGAGGAGGGGGAGGACGAGGAGGAGGACGAGGAGGAGGAGGAGGAGGACGACGACGACGACGACGAAGACGTCGACGAGAGAGGAGGAGCGGGTTGCAGGGAGGGGAGGAAGAAAGGAAGGAGACGCGGGGCAACGCGGACTCGAGCGAGGACACAGCAACACAGGATGGCTAGGAAAAACCGGGGGGAGGAGAAGGAGGGAGGAAAAAGGAGGGGAGACAAAAGTGATGCGCGGCGCTGCGGATTCAAACCGAGGACCCAAGTGCACAGGAGAGCTGGGAATCAAGACAATGAAATGATGAAAGAAGAATGAGGAAGAATTGGAAAGGAGACGAGGAGGATGCTGGTGGAAGGCTGCAGGAAGGAAAGGGAGGATGGAGGACGCAGGGCCAGAACGACGAGCGGGGGCAGGCGAAAAGGACGAGCACGGGGTGGGCAAAAGAACCAAAGGAAGGTGGCCCTGCAACACTTGGAAACGATGGAAAGGGAAGAAGCGATATTCCTCCCAAGCCAGGAGCAAGAACAACAAAAAAATAAATGACTCCAGAGGTCTGCGCGGATGCCTTGGGTCGGCGCGGCACCTCCTCCCCACACGGGGACCGAACGCCGGTCCAAGAAATCCGCCAGGACGACCGAAGGTCTATGATACTGTCGTACTGCCTGGCGCTCCAGAGGAAGGAGGGCCCTTCCGGATCCCCCCGCTCCGTTGCGGAAATCCATTGGGAGGTACACGAAATCATAGGTGCCCTCGAAGCCCTTCGCGTCGATGAGCTGCAGCAGCATCACCTGCGTGTACCTGGCCAGGTCACGAGCGGCCGCGCGGGCGAGGGCGGCATGGCCTCTCGCAGCTCCCCTGTGATCTGGGCCTACCCGCCCTCCCCATCGCGTCTCCCACATCCTCGAGGTCCCCATCTTTTTTTTTGGCTCCTCTGCACCTCTGCGCGCACCTGGTCCCCGCTTTCGTCCGTCCCCGCCCCCCCTCCGTCCCGCCCCCATGCCCCGGAATGCGAGGCTGCGCACCGCGGGCGCCGCCAAACAGGGACAGGGACTGGCGGGGGCAGGGAAGGGTCAGGGGGGGACTCTGCTGCGGCAGGTGGCCTCCCTCCTGCACGCAATCCGCCCATGGCCCCCCGCTGTCGAGTGCGACTTCTCGAACCGTCCCCCCTCACCCATCCCCTCCATCCCTCCCCCTGAGCGCCCGCCCAGCTCCTCGGGGCCTGCTCTCGGGCGGGGCGTCTGGCAGGCCCAAGCTCGACCGAATCGCGAGATCGGATCGGATCGGAAACCGATCGGACCGCCAGCGAATCGCCCCGAATCGCATCGAGATCGGATCGCCGCGCCTGGCTCCGG